GTCGGAATAGAAGGCGCGTCCCTAAAGATAGTTTGTCAGCGTTCATCTGCTATCCTTTGGAGACGAAGGATGATGACGCTCTGCAAAATTGAAACTTTCGAAGCACAGAAATTTTTTTCAAGAATGCTGTTTATGCATATATCGCTGCGCCGGTCGTAAATTGAACTAGGTCGGGTCCAAGTTCGAGCCAAGGTAGGGGCAAGAGATTTTGTCCTCAATCCAGCAGCATTCAGAGGAAAGTCAGAATCAATTACCAGGATTTTGGAAAAAAAAACACACTAGCAGAGCAGGAACAACATAGATAACATATCTCCTCAGCTTAGCGAATAATCAAACCTGAGTAACCTCGATTTTTTTTTCTCATCGTTGATTTTTGCTGATGTGCGAGTAAACTGAGCCAGATCTGCTCAAGGTAGAGTTCAGGAGAGAGCTGTCTCCGGCTCACGGTTTGAATTTTGTAATAAACTGATGCAGTCAATTCCCCGTCCTTGAGCCGGACAAAGATAGAGGGGGGGGGGCCGTTTTTCAAGACTTACTTTTATTGTAAGTAACTTTCTATTCCAAAGGAGGTGAGGGAGTGAACTTGAGACGGTGCACAAATTAGTATGGTTTGCGATGTATCGCTGAAAGCTGCGGCAGGAATAAAAGGTGGTATTTTGAAAGATTTCGCGAGTGGGCGAGGCAAGGATAGCCGAGTGGTCAAGAGTTTAGCTTCGTGTCTGCACCTCTGAAAGCCGCGGCTTCGATCCCTGCCGATGCTCAAGCCTCAGCAGAAACTGCCAAAGTGGTGCCAGTAGCACTGTCAGGCCCTGGTTGACAGGCCGACTGATGAAGACCCCCGTCTCCATAGAAATGTTCAAAAGACGCTCATAAATCTGTGTCAGTGCTAGGTATGTCACCCGGAAGTGGCGCGAAGAACCAGCGCCCGACTTTTATGGTTAGAATGCGAGGGCTACCGAGTGAACGGCCTTGGTAAAAAACATTAGTTCGAATTGGGACTTTGGACGTAGATTCGCTAAATTGAGTCAAGAGAGGTTGCTGCTCTGATGACGCGCAGGAACATTCGAGTCCTAAGCCTCCAGGAGACGCGATGTAAAAGGGCTGAGGCCTGGGAAAT